TGTGCAGACTCGCTGAGCCCGGAGACGCCCCCGTACAGCAGGGGCGGCTCCTGAGGCCCAGAGGGCGTGGGGAACCAGCCCCAGGCCCCACAGGCCAGCTGCCCAGGCCAGAATGAGGCCCGAGACGGCCTCCCTCTGACCTTCTGGTCCCCAGCCGGCCCGTCACACCACCCAGTGAGCAAAAACGTGCGCACTCTCCCACCGCCGACTCCCACGGAGACGAGGCAGGAAGCTCAGCCTGCAGGTGCCTGGCTACTTGCAGACTTGAGACCCGTGCCCGGCCGGCGGGGTGCAGTGGTTGAGCGTTGATCTATGAACCAGGAGGTTACGGTTCGGTTCCCAGTCAGGGCACGTGCCCGGGTGGCAGGCTTGATCCCCAGTGGGGGGCGTGCAGGAGGCAGCCGATCCATGGTTCTCTCTGATCATTGATGCTTCTCTCTCTCTCTTCCTCTATATTTTTTAAACAAAAAAGAGAGAAAACTTGGGACCCAGCGCTCAGGACGCCTGCGGATAACTTCCTGCTTGCCCCTCAGGAGTACCTGGTGCTTCAGAAAACCTCCAGGGTCGACGTGGACTCGAGTGGGAAGAGGTGCCGAGAGAGGATGGCCAGCGTGCTGTGGGAGGCCAGGGCGCCACCAGGACACTCCAGGTATGGCAGCGCCTGCGCCCCCGGCCGGGGCTTCCCTCCGGGCATCCGGCTTACCCCGGCTTCTCCCGTGCCACGCAGGTTCCTGGCATTTGAAGTCAAAGAGTTTTCATCGCTGGACGAGCTGCGGAAGGAGTTTGAAACCGCGGGACTGGAGGCCCTGTTCCCCGAGTGCGCCCTCGGGCTGGTGAAGTGAAACGGGAGACGGTTTTTGTTGTTGTTAAACAGCTGCGTTTGTTCATTTCTGTTATTGGGTTTGCATGGGGTTTGGGGGTGGACAACTGGAAGAACTCATAAAGGAATGATTTTAAAGTGTCTGTGAGGCAAAATGGGAGATACCATCCTATCTTCAGGAACAAAAGCCGATTCTGTTTGTGGAATATTACACAGTAAGCACACCAGGCTGTTTTTTTTTTTTTTTTTTTTTTTTTTTAAATAATAGGTTTTCATTGGTTTCAGAGAGGAAGAGAGAGGGAGAGAGAGAGAAAAAAATATCCATGATGAAAGAGAGTCATCGATCGGCTGCCTCCTGCACGCCCCTCCCTGGGGATCAAGCCGGAAACCCCGGCCTGTGCCCTGACCGGGAACCGAACCCTGACCTCCCAGTTCACAGGTCGACACTCAACCACTGAGCCCGCCGGCCGGGCTGTGCGCTAATTTGTGACAGTAAAGGCTGGGTTCAGGGGATGGACACTCTCTGTGAGACGACGCTGAGCAGACGACGTAAACGAGCCCTGAGCTCACAGGGAGGGTGTTTGCCGCCGGCAGTGTTCCTGTGATGAAATGATGTTTGAAAAGAAATGTGTTTCGTCGCTTCCTTCTCACGTTCATTGTCAGCATTGGCTCATGGTTTCCCCCGTTTATCTCATTCCGTCTGATGTTCCCAGGTGAACGGTAAGGACACGTCACACGGACTCTGCTGCGCTGCCTCTGTCGTGAGGTTAAACCCCAGCCAGAGCTCGTGGGATTGAGTTCCGGTGGCTTCTGTGGGGCCCAGACCGCCGCGGCACTTGCTAGCCAACCTAGGACTACAGTCCTTTGAGATAAAAAGTGTTTTGTCCTTTCAGCTCATAAAGCCTCACTCACTCAGTTTGCCTCCCTTTTTAAAAAAAATATATATATTTTTTTACTAAATTGCTTTTTCCCCAACTATCAGGATCGTAGGTCTCAGCTCCTTAGGTCACTGAAGGGGTGTAGCTTTACTCCTCGCCCCTCTGGGGCAGCCTAGGTTTCCTGGAGAAGCAGCCAACAGGATGTGCATTTATTCCTGCTAAGGAATTGGCGTTAGTGGTGATGGAGGCCGGCACATCCCAGACTTCAGAGTGGGCAGGAGGCAGGAGGCTGGAGACGGGAACGGGGCTGCCCCGGAGGCCGGAAGGCTCTGCGCTGGCAGAATGCTCTCGTTTGCAGGAGATCGGCCTCTGGTTCTGGTCACGCCTGATTGGACGAGGCCCACCCCCACGGGGAGGGCAATCTGCTTTCCTCCAAGTCCACTGACTGACACAGAGTGCCCTCCGGGAGCATCCGGAAGGATGAGACCACGTGTGGCCCGGCCGAGTGGACACAAAGGTCGCCGCCATCTCTCAGGACACGTCCCGCCTGCAGGGTCACCGTTAGGGGTGGCGTGTGCCTGGCAGGTCGCAGCTGCCGCAGCCCCGGGCCGGCCTCCCAGGCTCCGCCCGCAGAACAGCAAACGCCACGGGAACGCGGCGGCGCCGGGAAGGAAGCACCGCTTCCCAACACTCCGCAGCTGGACAGACGGCGGTTCGCTGGCCCGTGTGGCTTCTCTCGTGTCGGACGGGCCGCAGCGATAGATCGTGCAAGAAGCTTATGTTCCGCTGGCGCGGGAGCGTAAACATGGGCCCGGGGACATGTATTGATTTTTTTTTTTTAAAAGTGAACTCCCTTGCTTTGGGGCAGCTTTCCCGGGCTCTAAGCTGGCGTTTTCTCAGCTCAGTGTTGGCAAGTGACACCCCGAAGTGAGGCCAGGAGGGGGTTCTGGAATGGTGCTCCCCCCACCCCCGAGGTGAACCCCAGCTGTGCGCTTGGAGGTGTCGGCCCACCCGCTAGACTCTGCGCTGGACCGTCGGTGCGCGTGCGCATGTGCTGCTGCAAAGAGCCGCTGCTTCCCCGCCGCCATCCCCACCCCCATCCCCACCGCGGATCTGCCTGTCATTGGGCCTCAGCTATGGCTCCGGTGCTGGCCGGTCCCTTCCTGACTTGGCCTGTTCTCACGCTCCGCCCGAGGCCACGCCCAGGGGTTCGCCAACCCCCGTGGCCAGTGCCGCGGAGCAGACTCTGCCATCCATCCCAGTTCCGCTGTCGGAAAAGTCACCAGAACCATCCCGGGCTCCAGGGCTCACCATGGACCAGCCCCCGCCCCCGCCCCCCCCTCCGGCCTCCGCGGAGCGGCCACATCTAATTCCCGGCGATTCTTCCACCCATTTCCCCGCCGTCAGCGCGGCCGCTGTTCCTCGGGTTCCCATTCTCTCCCCCGGGACTCCTGGGAGGCCCCGGAGGGTCTCACCTCTGTTCCCGCCGCGCCCTACACTTGGCTGCGGGTCACACTCTCTCATTTAAAACTCCGGGGCCCAGGGGTATTCTAGAGGGTTTCTCTTTGAGTTCTTAGAGTTTCAGAAGGTAATAAAGAGAAAACACTGTGATATTACATTTCCCCCCACCCCATGGGGGGCAGCATCCTGTAATCAAACATCGTTATTTTGCTGTGAAATGGATGAATATTCGCATTAAGATAAAGAGTATAAATGGTCTCTCATTTTTCACATTAAACTCTAATGCCAGATGAGTTCAGATCAGATTGCCTTTGTCTCCAAGTAAATGATAAAAAAAAAACCCAAACCACCACCCATATTTTGGTTTTTAGAATGTTCGGATTTTAGAATTATGGAAAGGGTTGGTGGGCCTGCACTAGATACATCTTTCTTAAAAATACATTTGTATTGATGTCAGAGAGGAAGGGAGAGGCAGAGAGAGGTAGAAACATCAATGATGAGAAGGAATCACTGATTGGCTGCCTCCTACACGCCCCCTACTGGGATCGAGCCCCCAACCCGGGCATGTACTCATGACTGGGAATCGAACCGTGACCTCCTGGTCCATAGGTCGGAGACACGTCTGGGTAGGAGCCTGCTTTTAAAATTAAATTTGGAGGCATAGAGTTTCTTTTCCTATTGGGTTTTCTTTCTTTTTAATAGTTAAACTCTTAGGTAACCCTTTCTTGAGAAGGACTGTGCGTGCTTTCTCTTTACATTTTGTAAGCTTAACCTCCCTCAGCTAGGCGCTGTTTGGCTAAACATACAGCTCGTAGCTGTACACAGCCTGAAGAAACAGACGCGTTCTCACAGCGCCTAGTCGTTACTGTTTTGGGCTATGACTATGCGGACGTGTTGGCTTTTATGTCAATACTAGAGGCCTGGTGCACGAAATTCATGCACGGGGGTTGGGGGGAGTCCCTCAGCATGGCCTATACCCTCTCACATTCTGGGACCCTTTGGGGGATGTCTGACTGCCGGTTTAGGGGATCGGGCCTAAACTGGCAGTTGGACAGCCCTATCACAATGCAGGATCACTGGCTCCTAACCGCTCGCCTGCCTGCCTGATCACCCCTAACCACTCTGCCTGCCTGTCTGATCGCCCCTAAATGCTTGCCTGCCTGCCTGATCACCCCAACCACCTCTGCAGAGGAGGGAGAGAGAGAAACATCAGCTGGAAGGACAGCCGGCTGTCCGGTCTAATTAGCATATTCATATTACCCTTTTATTATTATAGACGAGTTCATGTTTCTAAACCTCCTAGCATTTTCTTGCAGCAAAGAACTGTCTCTTTTCTGAGAAGAAAAAACCACACCACACTTGGTTGTAAAATGAGGCCGTTTTGCATATTCATTAGGAGGTCTTTGAACTCTAAGGATAAAATCCGTTCTGCTTTGGGTATGGAACGTTATGCATTCAAGGAGTTTAATTTTATGCTAATAATGCAACAAGCTTTACATTTTCCTTTGTGTTGTTTGTTTTCCTGAAGATAATTTCATGCAGATAATCCGCCCCGCTGCCTGTACACCTCTCTTCCCCCGGGCCGGTGAGTGAATGGGGACGCCCGCTCAGGCAGGGACTCTCACTCGGATCTGGGCTACGGGCCGCCTTTCTCTTTTAAGAAGCGCTTCCTCTCGGTGCCACCGTTCATGGGAAGGCAGGAGGGCTGATCCCGGAGCTGATTCTGAACAGAAAACAACGTCTCAGCAAGAGGAGTCGCTGGCCTACTGTGTGCCTAACGCGACGACGTTTACCCAGCGAGAAGCACGGCGCCATGTGCTTCTCCGCCTCTGCGAGTGTCACGGATGGGGCCGGGCCTGGGGGTCTGGCTGGGGCCGGCAGGGCGTGTGTGGGTTCTTGACTTCGTGCGGGAAGATTTCACAGCACGAGTCCAGGTGACCACGGGGAGCGTTTATTAAAGCTGAGCCGTAAAACGAGAAAGGTCCTCGCGTAGAAGCAGCAACAGGAGAGCCGGGCTGGGCCGCCCTCGCTCTCTGGGAGTCAGAGAAGAGGGGCCTTGGGGTCAGGTTCAGGGGTGAGCCTGGGACGAGCTGCTGCCACCCATTGCTCCCCAGGTTGCCAGACTCGTGGGGTCCCTTAGAGGATAGGAGCTACATGGCTGTGGGGGAAAGGGAATGGCGGGGCCGCTCCCCAGAGGTCCGTTGTCTTGAGGCTTTTGTTTCCCTCTTGCAGGCGGGAATCTTGGGGGGGCCTTGGGGGGTCCCCACAGAATACTCATCAGTTTCCAGGTGGGCCCCTCCAGGGTCAGGTCTCCGCCGACGGGTCAGTGTTGGGCAGAGGGCGGTCATCGAAGCGGCCCTGGAGCCACCACCTGGTTTTGCTGCTTTTCTGCGTCTGGAGCTGAAATGCAAGCTGAGGCCTGGGTGTTCTCTCCAGGAGGGACCTCTGCATTGGCTGTCAATTGTTCTACCGGTTCGTCCAGCTCTCTGCCTCAGTTTCCCTGTTCCACTCATCTGGGCTCACTGGCCTGTCTCATGGGGAGGGCATGTAACAGACACGTGGCGATGTGGAAGGTTACGCTTTTTAGAAATATGTTTGTATTGATTTCAGAGAGGAAGGGAGAGGAGGGAGAGAGAGAAACATCAGTGATGAGAGAGAATCATGGATCAGCTGCCTCCTGCACGGCCCACACTGGGGATCGAGCCCGCAACCTGGCGCCTGTGCCCTGACCGGGAATTGAACTGTGACCTCCTGGTTCATAGGTCAAAGCTCAGCCACTGAACCACGCTGGCCCGGCAAGGCATTACGTTTTATTTTATCTCAATGTGCACACGTTACCCCATGTTTTTATATTTCCAGGCTCAGAAAGGGGAAAATGGCCTCTTGTTTTAATTTATAGTTTTCTGTCTA